GTACAATATTCTTTCAGATGCAGAATATCGATGAAGCTTGATCCATACTGTAATGGAAAATTGTATTGATTCGGATCACACTTGTGATATATGGTATCTGATGCTTCCTCATAAACAATTTTTTCTTGAATGGTGGTAGATAAACTTGAATATGACTCTTGGGCATTAATAGTTCTGCACAGCAAAGAAGTATCATGAGAATTTCTGGGGGAGGATTTGGTGAATAATATCAAGAAAGTTCAGAATACTTATATGTTGGTTGTTAGTCACAGATCTATGGGTAGATTTGAGGTTGACATTCTATATTTTTTCAGCTTGTGACCTCTGTTTGATTTTTCACACTATATTTTCATCCATTTGGTTGAACTTATATTTTCTGCTCTTTTTTTCAATATTTATCTTGCGTCCAGGCTATGATGAAAGATCAATTCGCCAATTATGTCGTACAGAAAGTGCTCGAGACATGTAATGATCAGCAGCGTGAGCTGATACTGTCAAGAATAAAAGTTCATCTGAATGCACTGAAGAAGTACACATATGGGAAGCATATCGTAGCTCGTGTAGAGAAACTTGTTGCAGCTGGAGGTGAACTTTTCTTAGCTTTTTCTTCTATTTCTACATCCATTTCTTAATTACCAAATTAGGCTTAAAATTTTTTTCATTACACTGCTGAGTACAATGTCCCATACGTGCACTTTGCGCCTGTGCTTTTACCCATGCAGATAATTGTCTAAACTGCTTTTTTCAATGTTTGCAGAAAGGAGAATTGCTGCCCAGTCTTCATATCCTGCTTAGATGTTTTAGGAAAGAAAGTTGCTGTACAGCTAACTGAGGCTAGTTTGAGCTGCCTCTATCTCTTTCATCTCTTTCTTCTGTATGTGGTGCTCCGCTCCTACCTGTCTTTCAGGAAGGTACGAGTGAATTGCAAATAAAGGTGTTGCCTTGCACTAAAAACTAGAAATGTACATTCTGTAGTTTTGAGTTTATACATAGTCTAGTAAGCTGCGGCTCAGAGGTTGAAGGTTCTTGGTGCTCCACTGCCAAGGAGCGACGAAAGACAAGTTTTAAGGGTGTAAAGTTGATAAAAGGGTGAGGTAGTATACATTGCTGCGTGACTGTACAAATGATGCCATGTGGAGAGTTGGTTATCTAGGCGAGGCCAAGGCTATCATGTATGCTATTTTCTGATTTAGCCAATACATTCAGTTCTTCAAATTTGCGCATATTCTGGTTTTCTGGTGTGCTTTGGTTTTATTGCTTCTATCATGCATCTGAATTCTTCATGCGATGCCGTTTACTTGTTTATTGCTAAACCCTGCTGTGTTTTGATTTCGTCTGGGATGAGCTCGACAATGTTGTTTTTGTTTCCTGCCTCCCTTCTAGTGTCTTTATAAGTGGCTACACACTTACCCTGTACTTCCATTGTAACTTGCCTTTTGAGTTTCTGACTTTGATGGCCTGATTGTGCTCAAAATTTCTCCTACGGCAATACACCCCAGTTCACCTGAATACTTGATGATTTGGTGAAACAAAGTACAAGAATGCAAAGAACTAGACTTGCAATATATTGGAAATATTGTGGGTTGAAAGAACTTAATAATTTTGATAGGCCTGATCTTCCTT